TTAAGACGATTCATGGCAATTAAAATGCATTCTATTGGATAGAAACCAAGTGTTTATTTAAAGCCGGACCAAAAATAAAATGGAAGACCTTTTTACTCTGAATTTCTGTGATTGGCTGGTCCCGACGTGCGATTCGCACGTCGGGGCTGAAGTTGAAGTAAATATAATGAAAAGTAGCATTTTCTTTTTATTATTTTTGTCTGCCGACGTGCGATTCGCACGTCGGCAGAGTCAAGTATACTTAAGAATAGACTTGGTTAAAGTATGTTGTTTTGTGCACACTAGAGGGTTAATTATTATGAGCATTCACCGTGGATATGTGTGCGGAAGGTCGTGTAGTCAATCAACAGTTGCGCTTCATTCGCCCAAAACGAGTGACTTGAATGTGACCACTGACATGCGGACAAGAACACTCGAAAGTGAAATATGGTAGACGTGGCGTTATAAGAGTGTGGGAAAGCTACAGGAGCAACAGCAGCTAGGCAGGCACATTGCATCGGGGGTAGATGGCGGCTATTTACTCGGTGATGACAATGATGCCCGTGAGTTCTTCGATTTCGACGGACAAGAGCTCGACCAGCTCGACGTCCTTGTCGCGCGTGTTGAACCATTTGTTCTGCCGCGCGTCGAATTCGAACCGCTTGGGGCCGCTGATGGGCGACGACCACCAGATTTGTTTGTTCGGGCCTTGCTTGTTTAGCACCCACGTGCCGTCCTCGCCCAAGTTGATGGTCAGCACCCCTTGCTACAATATCAGCAAACATGTCAGCCTCGCTAGTCCAACGTATACGTCGATGGTATTTACCGACAGAGTGATGTCCGCATCAGGCAAGATAGCCTCAATGCCATCCAACCTTTCGAGGATCTCGTTGAGCGTGGCTTCGCTGTAGCGAGCAAAGTCCGCGTCCGAGATGGTAGGCACGGCAGTCCCTTCCGTGGCCGACGGATCTGAGGAGAAGCACCGGCGTTGGAGCGGCGTCATCGACGGCAGGCCAAAGAAGAGATGTGGGGTCTTCGATAGCACCGCTTGATATGAACGACATGGACCCACGTGCGCCGCTGATCGCATGGTGACTTGCCGCAAGCCTCGCATCATCACTCGCGCACCAGCCATTGCAGAGTTGGAAGTGGCTTTAGAACGAATGTAGTGATTCGATTGGTCAAAATATATCCAATCCCGGGGCGGCATTGAACATCCACCCTATTGGCCAGGATACGATCTTTAACCGGCAAAGTCAAATTTGGATGGAATATGTATTGCAATACAGTACACTGCACTAGTATTATTCAAGCATAATCGCAGTTTCACACAGTTAAAATGTCAGTGCCTCTTCGTGAATAACTGTTACCGTCCGACCTTCGCCGTAAACCAAGCACGACTCGCTGTTCCTTCGACATGGATTGGCAGGCCAACTTGGACGCGATCATCAAATGCACGGACGACAACTTGCGTCAACAATTCGAAGCGCACAAGTTCTCGCCAGCTCCCCCGCTTCGACCGTTCAGCCAGTACAGCGCCATGGCATTCCGGCCACCGTCCCCTACAACTACATCGCACTTTCAGCCTGCGATGACGTCACCGCCGATGCCACCGCCGCCGCCTCCTCCGTCGACGCCCCAGCAGTCATTTCCTTCGTACGCCCCGTATCCAGCATCCCACGACAACAACAATGCTCCACCACCACCAACCCACGACTACTCCTCGTTCCACCAAGTACTACCTACTATTGTCTAGCACTCGATATATATGAAAAGTTGCATGCTGCATTAGACGTACAACATTGCCCACATGATGGAGCAGATCCGGTTCAGCATCAAGCTGGAAGTGGATGCCCGCGCGGCGATCGCCGAGCGCCAGTTGAGTGCCATCATGGCTCTTACGAAAAGCAACTCGGACGAACTGGACCGGTTGCGCCTCGAAGCCAACACGACGGACCGCGAAGTCCGGGGATTGGACCAAGCCCACCAGAAACTCAGGCAGGATATGACCACCCAAAAGGACATTATGTACCACGTGCAATCGATGGCAGGCAAGGACGAGTCGTGGCGGATGCAGGCCGACAATCAGCTGTTGGAACTGCGCCAAGTCATAGCAGCGATGCGCGAACAGCTCAACTCGCTGCAGGTGTCGATGCAAGAAAAACTCAGCCGGCCGGAACTGCTCGTGCATTTCAATGCGTGCGTCGAACCGCTCAAGGCCCAGCTGAATGCAGGCATTCAACACCAAGGTACAGTGCATACATCATCCCTTGCATGAACTCCTCGTACTAGTCCAACTGTATTGGACGAGTAGTACTTATGAGCAATGCAATATGTATTTATGAGCGATGTAATATGGGCCGTGGTTTGTTGCTTTTTCGTCTAGCCCAAATCATTGGCGAATTGTCGCGAAAGGACGCCACCCACAGCTACGTGGTTGAAAGCATCGAAAAGCACCTTCGAGAGCTGGATACCCACGTGCAAACAGTCAGGTTGGACGTCGAGTCCATCAGTAAACGGCACCCTCCTGACAGGCAAGCGGTTCCAAGCCGCACGGAGACATCAACGGATGGAACACTGTCGATGCCCCAGGTTGAATCCGTTGTGGAACACATTTGGCTCGGCAAATGCGAAGCCCTGGAGTCCAAGTGGGCGGTAATGTTGTACAGATTCCACATATTTGCATAGAAATATATCGACATTGCACTTGTGGCTGCTTCAGGCAGCGCACGATTTACATTGCCGACAAGTGCAAACTGCTCTGGACGAGTCGGATGTGCGATTGAAACGGTGGCAGGGCGACGTGGACAATAATACCAACCATGCCGCCAAAGACAGTACCCAGCAAATCACCAAGGTAAGTCCAAACGATATATAAATAATCTCTGACATTGCACATGGAACCAATAGATGGAAAGTCTGGTGACTGAAGGGCAAAGTACACTGAAAGCCCTCATCGCTCAGTCGGCGGCAGCGACTACGCAAATCATTCGGGACGAAGTCGAGCGAGAACGAAGTGAGCGCAAACGTCAGCTCGACGGGTTGACAGATCAGCTCATGCAGGTCAAGTACAGCACCCACGACAGTGTGCACAAGGGTCTTCACGACATTCGGATCGAACTCAAGGCCGATTTAACAGCTCACGACAAGGAACTGCAAGCATTTTGCATGTCCGTAGTGGCCAAGGACGTGCCACCGATGCTTCGAAAGGATGTGAGCGAGTGGCAAGAGGTGGTTCAACGAGTTCAGGAGGACGTGGCGCAGATTCGACAAGAGACCATTCATTGTACCAACGTCATGACTGTACTTCAGAACGACATGCAAGCTCAGCGTAAGGACGTTGCAGACCACAAAACGTCGTTGGGAACTATGGGGACCGACCTCTCAGCATTGAAAAAAGAAGTGGAAAGCACCACGAAAATCATCCAAGGACAAATAGACACGATACTGAAAGATCGAGTGGAAGGCGAGCGAAGTCTGCAGCGACGCATGGAAGTAGAGGTCACGACGTTGGTGCAAAAGGGCGTGGTGCCGTTCGAACAAGAACTCCGGCGCATTAACACACGACTGGACGACCTGAAAAAGCAAGAGCCCATATCGACCCCGGCTACCGCATCGATGATGGGACCGCCGCCGTCACCAGGGTATGGGTATTGGCCTCCTCACATGTATGCGATGGCGTCACCCCCTAATCACTCTATGGATGCGCACTATCGTGGGGGAAATATGATGCATCATGGCTACCATCAGCCAAACCATCTGATGTACACCTTACCACCGTTTGGCGTGCCAGAAATGCCACCGCAGCCATTGCCATCACTTCCCCAAGACTCGGCAACAGTGACTCAACCGTTAGGCAAACAAACGATCGACCTGCCGTCCACCGTGGCAGCATCTCATGTGGTTCATCAGATGCCTACCCCTGTCCCATCTGTGCCAGCGCCGGTGCCTCCAACAGCTGGGTCAATGGAAGTCATTCCAACAGAAACCCCACCACCATCGAGGGAAGTCAACATAACCAAACCCTCGAGTCCACAAATCACTCTGGCAACTTCACACCCCGTTCAAATCGAATCCAAAGGGACTGCTCAACCTCCAACGGCAGCTGCTAGTCCACCGCGGGTGTTGGTCCCTGTAACAAATCAGCGAGAGAACGTGGCGAACACGCTTCAAAGTTCTCCTGGAATTTCACCGGCTCTGTCAACGCTACACCCTACATCGCCATTACCTCCTGCAACAACTGGCCTTTCAGCTCCAGTAGTTCCCGTGTCACAAACACAACAAGTAATGTCACCCCCCATTCGTACTTCGGCTGCTGATACCTCGACCCTTTCCAACGGTTGTAATACCACCGCCCCTCCATCGCTACCAACTTCGTCATCTCAATCAACGAGCGTACCACCATCACCCCCAGTGCAGCCTAACCAGGCTACACCACTTCAACCTACACCGACTCCTTTGATGAATCGAAGCACTGCTGCGCCAACCAGTCAACCACCGGCAATCTCCCCATCGAATCCCCCAACGTCTCAACAAGTTCTTGAGAAACCGGTCGCATCCATCTCCAAGCCGCCGCCGCCCCCACCAACTCAACCGCCACCCCCTGGTGCTACCCCACCAGCAGTGTCCACTACCCTCGTAAACCCTGCTTCAATTCGACCGTCTATCCCTTCCTCTCCTTCAGCAACGCAAAACCACACTCCACTGTATAATAATCCTCCGCATCAATCACCCCCGAGTTCAGCTCCTCCCCCCGCGCAACCCATGCTACATCATCAAGCGTCATCGTCATCCCTCAACCCCTCGTCCCCATCTCCAGATGGTTCCACATTGAAAGTAACAACGAAAGTCTCCACGCTTCTCGACGATCCATCTATGAAGGGGGCGTTGGCCGAAGCAGAGCTCGCTAAAGCACGCGTGGAAAACCGGCTCAAAATCGAGGTATAGCCATCTACCTCCTTTCTTCGAGCTTTCCGTCGTCATAACATTGGACTTGTCCATTCGTAGCGAGAGCGCCGCCATTCCCTTGGCAGCATGTCGTCCCCAAGAGCGACTGATGTAATGAATGGAAATATGGATCGTTGCATGCAGTGCACGCTAGAGTTTCCAAAGGGGTCGAAGTCCGACCACGACCAACTGCATTGTTCCATGCGAATGCAGGTATGTAAGACCGTCCAACAACCAACTGGCACTGTAATACCCGTGTTCATTTAGACATGCCCCACGTGTCAATCCTCGATGCGGGCCAAGGACGTTGCCAGTCACTTGTGCGACAAACCCGTGGCCAAGTGTAAGCACTGCCTCGCCGATGTGGTGGACGTCTTGGACCACGAATCCAAGTGCGAGCACGCTTTGAAGCAATGTCCCCACTGCTTGCGCCGTCAAAAGGTAAAGTGCACCATATCGCAGCATATAAAACAATGGTGAAGATGATTTGATCTTGGGCTTGTTGTCGTAGATGGCCGATCTGCAGGAACACATCAACACGTGCGACTGCCGCCTCGTGCAGTGTCCCAACGCTTGCGGGGGCAAGTTTTTACAACGGGGTTTGGAAAAGCATGTTCTGACCAAGTGCCCGAAACGCCCGCAACCAACCACCTCCACTACGACGACGTTCACCCCTGCTGCTGCTGGGACCACGTCGTCGACAACCAACGTGGCGCCCCCCAGGCCGAAATACCCCGAAGTACCCAAACCAACCAGCGAGGCCAAGGTACTATCAACCACTTTCCATCAATCAAGATCACGACACGCTTGGTTTTCCAAAGGTCGAGTGCAAGTATTGCGACGAAGAGTACACTGCCGCCGGCATCGACGGTCACGAGCAAAGGTCCTGTGATTCGAGAATCTGGTCGTATATCACCGTGGAGTGATTCATTGTGTGCGTAGTTGCGACTGGAAGCCCAAGCGATGTCAGTTTTGCAACATGGTGATTATCTCTCGAGATTTAGCGCGGCACGAAACCAATTGCAAACAAAGCAATCGTCAGTGCGCGCATTGCCAACAAACGGTATTGACATCGTCGCATCCATTTGCTTGGACTAAAACTCAATACTGTTTTGTCAGTTTGCCAGTCCCGCGTATGCGGCCCATGTGCCAAAATGCCCTAAGCGCCCGATCAAGTGCATTCGATGCGGGGACTTATTTGCCGCTGACATCATCGCCGCCCACTCTACCGCCTGCAAGCCCGGAGATGCCAAGGGGGCCATCCCCCCGCCGCCATCGACGCCACCCCCCGTTCAAATGCCTCAACCTGTGCGTGATGATCTCATTCTTCAGTGAATCTTATCGGATATTATGGGTGGAGTAGGCGTCCCCGTCGAAGCGACGGTCGGAAGGGGACTTGCGCAGATTGATGACGACGGAGCCCCAAGGCGTCGGACCAAATGTCTCCGGTGATCGCAATTCCCGACGAAACTTTGCACTTTCGCAGCTTACGGCCCCGCAAGAGCAAACTCCACATTTGACGACAGCACGTACCAACGAAGTCGAGGAGGATGATGATGTTGACGAAGACGAACAAGAAGACGACATGGAGGACGATGTGACGCTTGCCCAAGGTACGGTCAATCTCACGACGAACTATTAAGTAGTGTATGCATCAGTATCGATCGTCATGATGGGATATACTGCGATACGAATAGTGGTGGCGGAATGGAACGTCGACCACGTGTGTTTATGGTTGCGCGAGGACGTGGGGGTGCCCGACGTCGTGGTACGGACGATATGATTTGGCGATGGTCGTCTGTTGTGGATGACATTATGGGGGTGGGGGACGTCACTAGGATCGCTTTGAAGCGCTTCAAATTGACGGGCAAATGCTACTCGAGTTGGACGAGCGAGCGCTCGTAAACGATTTGGGGATCAAAACCAAACTGAACCGGGACCGGATTCTGGCGGTAATTATGCTATTCATGTATGCTCATGGTATTTCAGGTTGTGACGGGAACAATTCTGTTCAGGCCATTGACGCCATCAAGACAAGCGAAGACGACGATAATGACGAAGATGACGAAGAAGGAGACGTGGCACCGCCGCCAGTGCCTGCACCTGCACGTAAGTTTTGCATGCTTGGTTGTGAGCGTGCCACGTAGTGTTTCTGTCATTTAATTGATCGTACGAAATGCAGAAGGAAGCGCCCTAGCTCGTCGACTGTCAACCGGATCGAGTCCGCAAACCCAAGCCAACCTGGTAACGTTACGTTGGACTTGCGTTGAGGATAACTTTCCATCTCACTCCTCTCGTTTCTAGCTGAATCGAATCAATTCGGCGTTAAATACTGGCTCGGCATGTCGGAAATAATAACAATCCTCCTCTTGTAAACAATACTAGTACTTCGAGTACTACCAGCAGTAAACTTGTACTTATCTACAGAGAGAAAGCTACGGTGGAGGAGTTGAATTCGAGTTGCCAAGCAAGCCATCGCTGTGGGGCTGGTCCAAAGGGTAGAGAGATATAACTTACGTTAGCTCTGGCATATTGGTTGTTGTTCGTGCACCTTCGCGAATGAATCTCGGCTGTTTACTATGGACACGCTCGTAATACAAACTATATCGACTTAGGCATCGACGTCCTTGAGTTCTACGTACGCCCCCGCACCGACGAACCCCCGGTTCATGTCGTCAACGTCGGGCTCTAACGGATCGGCCTCTAGCAGAGCCGGCTGGAGGTACGCTACTTCGTTGGTCGTGGGTCGTTGGTTGAGAAGTGTCCGTCGAGATTGGCCTCCTCCAACGGTCGAGTCCAATTTAACGCATTGGACGAGGGGAAGGTACATTGCCCCTCGTGGGTACAGCGCTTGGATGTGGGTGTCCATGATCAACGTCATTACTGGCAAGGCGGTGGCGACGATCGTGGGCATGAGCGCATACAAGTATGCGTTGTGGACGGCTCGTTTGTCCGTATTCATAGGGACTTTGGCATCGCTGGCAACTTGCACCCGCAGCCACAGCATCCCAATGAGCACGACCTGAGCCACGTACATGGCGCGCACGATAAACGCATACATTTTGGGCCAGTACACACCCGTGGTGAAATGCGCCGGCGTAAACACAAACAAAAACAGGCGGCGGTACACCAGGTCCGCCGACACGAACAGCACCAAGCCAAACCAGCTCAGCAGGGGCGTGATGGGGCAAAACACGAGCACGAGCAGGATGCCCACGACGTAGATGGGCAGCTGCGCGCTTTGGTCGCAGGGCTCGGCCACAGAGGACGGCGTGAGCCCCCACCATGGCGACCGCCGCTCCCGGGGGGTTAGCTTTGGCGCACCGAGGTGGTATATGAGGCCACGTGCAATCGCTACCATCCGATACAACTTGACAATCAGGGACAGCCCCGTTTGAATGATAAGGTAGCTCATGTACAAGCTGGCTTGGCGGGGCACAGCCTGGGACAGCAAGTAGACGGCGAGGACGGGCTTTTCGACCATCTCGGGGAGAGACTCGGTGAGCGACCCGCCAAACAGCGCTACGACAAACGTCTGGTAGAACTGGAACACGAGGAGTTTAGTGAACACAGCCGACTCGGTTTCCGATTTCGATGCATGGCCTTCAAAGTTGCTGATAAAGGCAAACACAGTCGGGGCCAAGAGACTCAACAACACGAGACCGAGCGGAGACAGTTGCTTGAACAGCGGTACCAGACTCGGGTACGTCGTGAGCAGCTCTCGGATTCGGGGCACATCCTCTTGCCACTGCTCAACGTTGGCCAGCGACGTGATAAACAACGTCGGGATGGACCACAGCACGATCACGGCGGCGGTCACGACAGTCGCGACGAGTTGCTTTGAGTTGCGAACGTGCAGTGTCCGGCCGAGGTTGGTCCAGATCATGTCGGACGGATGGGGCGCGGGGAGGATGCTGCACTCGACGGGGTTGCTGGTCTGGAGCATCTGTAGAGCACTTTGTGTGGCTTGGTGTGACCGAAAGGTCACGAGGGCAGTGGGGCGAAACACTTTAAGCGCTTGGAGTTTTGCAGGGGCCAAGTTGTCGTCGTCCGCGGTGGCTTCTTGGGCACGCAACACCGCAATGTCAGTGCGGATTTCGTCGTTTAGTCGGGTGAGCTCGGCCGTGTAGTGCGGGATCGCGTCCACGACGTTGCCCGTCGATGTTTTGGCTTTGGAGCGACGAAGGTACGGATTTTTATCACATTTGGCAGCCACAACCAGCGCCCGCTCCAACAAGTGCAATGTCTCGAGCCGCTTTGTGACTTTGGCTTCGAGGTATTTGCACTCGAGCGCAATGTGAATGGCTTGCACTTGGTGCGGAAACAACGCGTGGAGGTACGTGTCGAGGAGGTCGGGCGTGCACAGGTTGGCCGGGAGGTCGTTGACCACCACCGTGTGTTGCTGCAGCGTATTTTGACCAAGAAACGCATGCCGCCGGACGAGATAGACCTTCCACTCTTGCAAGAGCAAGAACATGGTCCAGAATGTGATGGCGACGCCGGCGGCCGCGGACGCCCACAGCCGATTCGGGTCTAAAGCGACGTTCATGTTGGCCATTGCCATGCGCGTGATCCAGTCCGTGGACTCGTCAGTGAGAGGATTCAACGCGGTGGCGTACACTGGAATGAGGACGCACGAGATGGCCATGGACCCCATCGAGATGTTTCGACCGAGGCGCAGCAGCCGCAAAAAGCACAGCGCGTCCAGGCCGCAGTGTGTAACAAGGTCATCGTCCGTGGTGCGCCACACCGCGGGAGCCCACCCGAAGATCCCGTACGACTTGGCCGCTGTAGGGCACGACGTGTCGGCGTGCACGGCGCGACATGCGAAATGGGACTTGAGTCGGCGCTGGACCACGTCAAAGAGAACGAACGCCACCACGAAGAACGTGTAGTAAATCTTCATCGAGTCCAGCACTGCCTGGTCCGGGTTAGCATCCACAAAGATCTTGACCGTGAGGTTGCCCGCCGTGATGGTTTCCGTCGCCGTGCCATTATTGTTTGCTGAGGTGCTATTCGGGTTCGCCGCCTGGCTGGCCATGGGCAATAATGGCTGATGGGCAAGTGGAACAGTGGGTGTGATGGTTGCCAATATCGCTCAACTTTGTTGTACTGTATGCAATCTGTTTGGTCATATTATGACAGACCAAGCATCCAAACGGTACGGTGAAAACTCGCTCAAATTTGCCCGTCAATGATTGTCACACACAAAAAGACAGGCTTGTAAGTAACATGTCACTTGCAATCGTCGAAGTCGCCGACAACTTGGCGCCAAGAACATTGGCCCTTTGAGTAGATCGCGAGAGGTCTACAGTGCCCATGAAACGCGCGGCTGAGATGCCAGCGCATGATACATTGGCCTAACGTTTAACCGAATAGGCAATTTGGTTTTGTTGGATGCCATCAGTGCGTTGAAAAGGGTTGACTGACAGGTGCTGAAAGTCCTCGTTGCGTGTACAGGATAGCCATTTTTCGTTCTCAAACAGAGCCAGACCAGGTCCAACCGCGCCGCCCCACTGCACCAGGCCCGTTGCATCCTCCGATAGGACCACATGTGGCATGCGTTGTGGAGGATGTGTGGTCCATCGAATATCGCCGCCTTCTTGCAGCCCGTCGACACTGTCGGGGGTGAAGGCAGCGGTTTTCGGCGTTCCAACTTAGGGAGTACAGGCTATCACGGCTATGCAAAGGCTTCGCAGTGTAGACAACATGGTTAGCAATTGCCCGCTCGTTTCGTCCTATGCGAATGGCACCATCTCAAACGTGTAACTTTCGACTCCCATGGGAGTTGTCATCGCAAGCAACAGCGTCAGCTGTGTCGCTGCTACTGGTCATTTCCACTCGTTCCAGATTTAGGCTCGACGCTTCAACGTGGGACGTGAGCAACGCACGTCAATGCATGCTACTAGACATGATTGCGCGTTAGCATGATGGCGCAGAATCAGAGTGTATTTTCATCGCTGCGACGACTTCTAGAGGCGCACAGATACTGTCGCCCTTGACGTGGCTGCGAACTTCAGACACACGGCATTCCCTACACCGATGGCAATGAAACCAGTGGCAACTGACCGCTCGATCATTTTTAATGCTATTCGCACCACGTCGTGCGATCTTGCTTGGAATGAAACCTGAGCACCATGCTCCTCAAAGCCGCTTCCAAGAAAACGGATTGTGATGCGGGCGTGAAATAATGTGTCGAGCTTGCTAAACGACACATTGTACAGCTCGAGATGTCAGGCCAGTTAGAGTGGAATTGAAAAAAGTGTTGCTCCGATTCAACAGCAAATTGCTGTCTGAAAATGTAAATTTCTGCGATTCTATTAATGTAAGGCTGGTACTCTGAGAAGAAGACAAAAACGTCTTCGCATATCTGAGGGTGCCTCTGAAGGCACAAAAATTCGGATCTGAAAATTGAAAGTCTAACTGATCTGACTGACTGTGAGGCAATCGCAGATTCGAAATATTCTGAGTCATTTTTGGTTGGATACAGAATCAGCTGTTTGTTTTGACTTAAGGCGAAATTCCAATCAAAACAGACGTTATCGCAGTACAAACAACCGATCTTGGGCGCGTAGTTGCACGTCTTCGTTCGGGTTGACATACACGTAGCTATGGCGTTGCTCTCTGGCGCGAAAGAGGCCCAAGCACAATATGTCCTAATCATTCTCGTCTTCGCATCACTCGATCTCAAACAAAATCGTTATATATACCTGGGTCACAAGCATTTGCACAAAGCACTCGAGGTACGACTTGTTGTGGTAGATGATGGGAACGGCAATTTGATCCAATACCCGGCCGTACTCGTTGGTCGCGCCTTCTCCAAATGTAAGCAAGTGCAGCAAGTCAATGATACACCCGTATTTGTTGCAGTTGCCCAACACTGCGTCCAACGAATTCGAAATAAACACATTTCCTACGTAATAATCATATATATCATTTCAAGAAAACGAAAACTCAACGTTCTATACCGGCGGCGTAGATGGGGTGGCAAATGTTGTCGAGGGGGTCGTCTGCTCGCGACAGCACGCGCTTGGTCAGAGTTTTCACGGCTTCCAAGGTCGACGGATTCTCGGATCGAACGAGATCGTCTTTGAGGAACCGCAGACTGCTCGGGCGACTCTACAATTCGATTCCCATCGTAAACAATACAAAACCACAATGGATTTATAGCCGAGAGAGAGAGCTGTAGATGAGAGTACCAGCTCCACAATCACAGTGGCCATAGGCGACTCCGCGGGGCAGTTGCATTCGCAGCACTCGACCACGTATCGATGCAACGTGATCGCGTCCGTATCGAGCATGTTTTGGTCCTTCGTATCGGCGGCTACCCCATCTTCGTCGTCGTAGTCGTCGTCGTATTGCCCGGGGGCCTGGAGGCAACTGCCGAGGATGACGATGCTCTTGGCAGTGAACGCTGACGCCTGGCGTAGCATGTCTTCTTGGAGGGGCGACCCACACAAAAAGTACACTTTTTGGAACATGGCGATGCTGGCATGCTGCTTCTCCGTGAGTGGGATCTCCGAGATGATTATGATGGGGGTGGCGGTCATCGCGTGCTGCGAACTGCCGAGGAACTGTGTGGATTTGGCGTGGGAGTCGAGCTGGTGGCGCAGTGGCGCGACGAAATCGTGCACGGCGTTGGGCATGCCACAAAGGATTATGTGGTCAGACAAGTCGGACGGTAAGTTCTGGTCTAAAAATGACTCGAACAGTTTGGTGTGTCTGGTCGATGCCGACATGCGCGGGGCGAACGCGGGGTGGCCGATGTCCTCCATAATGGGGTCGGGGGGCGGTCCTCCTTGGCCTGTGGCGTACGCTCGCTGCGACGACAGCTTTTGAAATAATTGGTTGGCTTGGGAGTGGGTGGGTTGGTCCGGGGGAGATGGACTTGCGAGTGCATGTATACTAAGTCGAGAGAGGTCACTGGTGGACAACACCGAGGACTCCGCGTGCGTTGGGGGGGCGTTATCTGGCTGCAAAAAGTGGTCAACGTGGTTGGCGGTGTCGTTGTCGTTGTACGGTAGCACACGTGTGACAGACCCTCGTCTGTGACTGAGGGGGCTTCCATCGTCACGTGATGACTTTGCCGTGACGTCTGGTGTTGCCGCCCGATACGAACCCAAGAGCTGCGACCGGCGTCGGGGCAGATCCTCTTGCGTGGTTTCAGAGGTGGCAGCTGATTCACGGAACGAGCTCGCGGACCGCATCGACATGGCCACCGGCACGAGGCTCGACACGGAGGCGCGCATGGTGGTGCGGATTTTGCCCGCCATGGAATTCGCATGCCAGCGCTCGGCGATCTTGGCGAAGTTGGGAATCCGGGTTTCATGCCTAGACAAAAGCAATCAAAAACGTGCGTAATTCATAACGATCTCACTTTTGCAGCGTGGACAGGGCAAGGGATTCGACTTGGTTGACTGCATCAGGGTTGGTTGCCAAGAGGTAAATGTAGTGGCTTCGCTTGACAAGTATGCGAGAAGGAAATAATCGCATGTCCAGATGGTTGCGACCCGTGACCGCCAACAACAAAATGCCACACTCTTGATACAGAATCAACGCTAGCGTTGAAAAGCTGAGGCATCCGTCGAGGTACACTGGCACCTTGGCTTCGTAAATGTCGTGCGCACAGCCCATGAGAAACTCGGACGCCCATAACGTACTAGACCAAAGTCAATTGTGACAAATTCATTGCTCTATGAAGGATCATATTACCTTCTCGCGTAAAACGGTCGAAACGTAAACAGCATGTTGCACAGGAACGCACACAGGCCAGGAATCACGCACGTTTTGGCCAAGATGCCAAGCTTTAGTTCGTCGATGCAAATGATGTTGCTCGCGCCAGACATGTGAACGTGCCGGATGTTGTCTGTCTTTAACACTTGCACAAACAGCGGAACTACATAAGAAGGGTTACGTCAGCTATAGATGAGGAGTATGGCTACGAAAGGAATGTACTGTCGTTGGTGTAGTGGCGGAGGGAAATCGTGAGCAGGTTGGACGCCGTGTCGTTGCGGTCGCCGTCGGTCGAGAGTTTGTTGAGTAGCACAAAGCAGAGCCGCGCGTTGGCCGCCCCCGCGCGCTTGAGGTCCGAGTCCAGCATGGCGCTGCCTTGGAGGTACACGACTCGCTGCTCGTACGCGCTGTTGAGCAGAATCCGTCGGAGGTTGTTGGACGGGAGCCCCGGACACAGGATCACAACTTTGTCTTTCCAGTTGATGTTATTCGGGTGCAGGAATTGGCGGAGGAAAAAGTCGAGAGCCCCTGAATTCACTTCGCCGCAAATGAGAATGTGGGGGTTCCTTTCTTTTTCGGCCTTGAACGACTTGTCGAATTCCGTCTACCATGCGTTATGAATACTCTTGACAAGTGCAAATAGGGTTCTACACCTCTCGACTGAGGATGTCGCTGTATCGGCTGATATGTAGCGGTAGAAGGATACTCGTGGAAAAGATGAGTCCGATCACGGCGAGTTTGCCGTTGGACGACATGGGGACCAGGTCGCCAAATCTAGATTGACCCCCGATTGGATCAAATGAAAAATGAATGTGTGACTGTATACCCCAGCGTGGAAATTGTAATCACAACAAAGTAGGCAGCGTTGTAGATTTCCAAGTCCTGGCACTTGTAGTCGCCGACGTTATTGCAAGCTTCAATGGCCTAAGGGCAGAAAAACGATAGTTACTTGTAGCGAAATACGCTGACAAAGCCGCTTACTTGAATGATTCCCGCCGAACAAAATATGATGGACATGACAGTTAGGAAGAGGATGCCAGCTTGGCGTCCCTTGGCCGTCTTGGCAAACACAAGGAGGCGAAACGAGCGAAGAAAGCGAAGGCCTCTCAGGGTTTTGAGGGCGTTGGCTTGTTTCTTAAAGTCCGAGTCGTCTGAGATGGCCATTTCCAACCACTGGGGCAAAATTGTCGCTAGGTCCACCAGGGACATGGTGTTGAGGAAGAACGTTTGTGGACTTTCAGACGCAATCAAGCGAACGAGGTAGTCGAACGTAAAAAACACGCCAATGGCCCGTTGCACTGTGCGAACCATGGGGGTTTCCGCCACGTCTTGGAATTTCGACCAGTTCTGGTAAAAGTAGACCATCGTGACCCCAATCCTACGACGACAAAGTCAAGCCTGCGCGTATCAAACCGAAATACGAACCCGAGGATGACTTGAAATACATCCAACAGCGTCGCCAACGTGGAGCTGTCCATGTTGCGGCTCACCCATTTTCGGAACGTTTCGCCCCGCATACGAGGTCGAACTAGGCGGTTCTTGACCGAGTGTAGCCACACCAAGACCACTGGTTGGCGTGGCTGGTCCATGGATGGCTTGGCTTGTTCACGCCCTCCTCGTTGAAATGCAGCCTGAAACCGATCGAGCGATATGAACAATTGAGCAGTTAGAAATCCGTTTCGCATTCGTAACTGGTCAACAACCCTTGGGTGAAAGAAATTAGTTTGCCACACGCCATCGCTTGATTTTAGCAAGTCGAAGTACAAACACATACTCCGGAGTAGTAACGACACTACTGTATGATGGATTTCAAGTGCATAAGAGCAGCCTAATCTCATTGACTGATACTTATGTCTCATCTTCAGTCAATGGAGGGGGAAAGGATGTATACACACACTTGATTTGTGTTCTAGTCGTAACCTCTCCTAACATGTGCTACATGAACATTCCTACGAGGTCGGATTGTTACAGTACATACGTCGTCCCAGGAGTTGGTGTTACAGCCCAAGCAGTTTCCAGCGATGCCTGTTGGCGCTGTAACTGCTCAGAATTTAACCCGACCCAGGAGTTTCGCTGTCGCTTCTCATTTCCAACAGAGCCAAAGGGGGTACATCATCCAGTTGTCATGGACAAACCAAAGAAGCGCGTGGTCGTGCTGTGGCTGAACAAAGCCATGAGCCACTTGATCAAACCTCGAATGCGCGGGGAAACATTTCAGAAATGGGCCAGCCGCAACATGGACAGCTCCAAGCTGGCCACGATCGTCGACGTGTTCCAAGTCGTGCTCGGGTACCTTGTGTTTTGATGCCATTGACATCGAAACCCCCAACTAACAACGACATCGTAGCGTCAGCGTGACCATCATCTACTTTTACCAAAACTGGACCAAGTTCCAAGACGTGGCGGAAACCCCCATGCTTCGCAACGCGCAAACGGTCATTGGCGTGTTTTTTACGTTCGACTACCTCGTTCGCTTGATTGCGTCTGAAAGTCCACAAACGTTCTTCCTCAACACCATGTCGCTCGTGGACCTAGCGACAATCTTGCCCCAGTGGTTGGAAATGGGCATCTCAGACGATTCGGACTTCAAAAGCTTGGCGAATGCGTTCAAGACCCTGCGATCGCTCCGATTTCTTCGGGCATTTCGCCTCCTTGTGTTTGCCAAGACGGCCAAGGGGCGCCAAGCTGGCATCCTCTTCCTCACTGTCATGTCCATCATATTTTGTTCGGCGGGAATCATTCAAGTAAGCGACGACGGACATTGTACTACATACTGCTGCAGCGAAGGCAAGCAACTATCCTTCTTCTGACACTAGGCAATTGAAGCTTGCAATAACGTCGGCGACTACAAGTGCCAGGACTTAGAAATCTACAACGCTGCCTACTTTGTTGTGATTACAATTGCCACGCTGGGGTATACAGTCACACATTCATTTTTCATTTGATTCAATCGGGGGTCAATCTAGATTTGGCGACCTGGCCCCCAAGTCGTCCAACGGCAAACTCGCCGTGATCGGACTCATCTTTTCCACGGGCATCCTCTTGCCGCTACAGATCAGCCGATACAGCGACATCCTCAGTCGAGAGGTGTAGCACCCTATTTCCACTTGTCAAGAGTATTCACAACGAATGGTAGACGGAATTCGACAAGTCGTTCAAGGCCGAAAAAGAAAGGAACCCCCACATTCTCATTTGCGGCGAAGTGAATTCAGGGGCTCTCGACTTTTTCCTCCGCCAATTCCTGCACCCGAATAACATCAACTGGAAAGACAAAGTTGTGATCCTGTGTCCGGGGCTCCCGTCCAACAACCTCCGACGGATTCTGCTCAACAGCGCGTACGAGCAGCGAGTCGTGTACCTCCAGGGCAGCGCCATGCTGGACTCGGACCTCAAGCGCGCGGGGGCCGCCAACGCGCGGCTCTGCTTTGTGCTACTCAACAAACTCTCGACCGACGGCGACCGCAACGACACGGCGTCCAACCTGCTCACGATTTCCCTCCGCCACCACACCAACGACGGTACCATCCATATATATATGCATATATATTGCTATAGCTGACGAACCCCTGTTTGTGTAGTTCCGCTGTTTGTACAAGTGTTAAAGACAGACAACATCCGGCACGTTCACATGTCTGGCGCGAGCAACATCATTTGCATCGACGAACTAAAGCTTGGCATATTGGCTAAAACGTGCGTGATTCCTGGCATGTGTGCGTTCCTCTGCAACATGCTGTTTACGTTTCGACCGTTTTACGCGAGAAGGTAATTTGATCCTTCATAGAGCAATGAATTTGTCACAATTGACTTTGGTCTAGTACGTTATGGGCGTCCGAGTTTCTCATGGGCTGTGCTCACGACGTATACGAAGCCAGGCTGCCCGAGTACCTCGACGGATGCCTCAGCTTTTCAACGCTGGCGTTGATTCTGTACCAAGAGTATGGCATCGTGCCGCTGGCCACTGCGGGCCACAACCATCTGGATATGCGTCTCTTTCCCTCCCGCATGACAGTCAAGAGATTGCACACAGTGTTCCTCCTCGCCACCTACCCCGACGCAGTCAACCAAGTCGAAACGCTGGGGCTACCCGTCCTGCAAAAGTACATCGTCACACTTTACTTTGTTTGGATTGTTGGTGCAAAAAGTAGATATGTTTGATATACATTCGGGGATCTGTGACTAGGTACCAGGCCCGCATTCCAAATTACCCCAAGATCGTGGACAAGTGGCAGGCAAAGTCGATGACGGAGAAACTCCGCACGACCATTCGAAACTCTGTGACAAGTATCGGGCTCGCGACCAACCCGTCGATGCTGTCGATGGACTCGTCGCGAGCGATCCCGGAACTGCTCAAAGCCATGGAGGACATTGCCAAGCGGCGGCTCACGGGCACCATCACGCGCGTACTGCCGTGCGAAACGGAAGACGACGTCGCCGACCCGTCACATCACGACGACAAAGACATTAACCATCTGACGGTCCACGACTCGTTGCGACCGCCGTCCGTGATGCAGGTCGAGACGGATCTTTCTCCAGCGAAATCGATGTTGCCACCGATTCTACAGCCAGTGTCACCGGCAGATACGGCAAACATGATGGCTACTGACGTCGTTGCTGTCGCCACCGCGGCTGAGGCGCCCCCCCCCCTCGTTCGTGGTTCCACTCGCCTTCCCTTTGTCAACAATGCCGGCGCCAGCCCTCAAAACGACTCGCCACCCACGTCGTCGTCCCCCCTTAGCAACCAACCACAGTCGTTCGAGAAGCTGCTCAACCTGAGCCGCAGCCCGTCCGTGGCGTTTGCCGACTTTCTTGGGGTCGTTGTGCCCGCCAACCTCTCGGGGCACATCATCCTCTGCGGCATGCCCAACGCCCTGCACGATTTCGTCGCGCCGCTGCGCCACCAGCTCGACTCCCACGCCAAATCCACACAGTTCCTCGGCAGTTCGCAGCACGCGATGACCGCCACCCCCATCATAATCATCTCGGAGATCCCACTCACGGAGAAGCAGCATGCCAGCATCGCCATGTTCCAAAAAGTGTACTTTTTGTGTGGTTCTCCCCTCCAAGAAGACATGCTACGCCAGGCGTCAGCGTTCACTGCCAAGAGCATCGTCATCCTCGGCAGTTGCCTCCAGTCCCCCGGGCGCTACGACGACGACGACGACGACGAAGATGGGGTAGCCGCCGATACGAAGGACCAAAACATGCTCGATACGGACGCGATCACGTTGCATCGATACGTGGTCGAGTGCTGCGAATGCAACTGCCCCCCGGGGTCGCCCATGGCCACTGTGATTGTGGAGCTGGTACTCTCATCTACAGCTCTCTCTCTCGGCTATAAATCCATGGTGGTGTTGTGTTGTTTACGATGGGAATCGAATTGTAGAGCCGCCCGAGCAGTCTGCGGTTCCTCAAAGACGATCTCGTTCGATCCGAGAATCCATCGACCTTGGAAGCCGTGAAAACTCTGACCAAGCGCGTGCTGTCGCGAGCAGACGACCCCCTCGACAACATTTGCCATCCCATCTACGCCGCCGGTACTTGTAATTAATTTTTCTTTTCTTTATTATTGAGAGTGATTCTAGAAATATAAATTATACCTAAACATATTTTTCTGATCTGGAAATTTGATTTGATTTAAAATATAAATAGAATAAATAGAGATTTTTATTTTTTTTAGACTGTTGTGTTTTTGTTACTAGTATGAGATAGTGTCGTTTGACCCAACATTTGGATTCGCCAAATCCATTGATCGAATGTTTGCATGTCACCATGGACCAGCCAGTGTCACACACTAATTCGATGTATGGATGGGTGAATCGAGATTTTGATTGGCCACTTGATACGTGTTCTGGGTTTTGATTGGTCGTCGATCGATTGTCCACCGCACTCTCGAATTTCTTGACAATCATATATCATGTGATGTATATATATATATATATATATATCATTTTTATGTAGGCAAAGTGTTTATTTCGAATTCGCTGGACGCGGTACTGGGCAACTGCAACAAATATGGGTGTATCATTGACTTGCTGCACTTGCTTACGTTTGGAGAAGGCGCGACCAACGAGTTCGGCCGGGTATTGGATCAAATTGCCGTTCCCATCCTGTACCACAACAAGTCGTACCTAGAGTGCTTTGTGCAAATGCTTGTGACCCAGGTATTTATCATTCACTTTTAAAATGCTCTTATATATATTTATCATCTGTTTAGGACATTTTGTGTCTGGGGCTGTACCGCCACCGCCCGAAACGGCACAGCTACGTGTACGTCAACCCGAACGAGGACGTGCGGGTGCAAAGCAGCGACCGCCTCTTTGTGTTGCGATGACACGAATCAGAATCAGACTCAGTCGTTGCGACGTCACCCAAACACGAATCAGAATCAGACTCTGTTAGTTCTAGCTTGTCTGGTTATGCCATGTACCGCAACCCACTGTCGCTGCTTTCGTCAAGAAGCGACACGGCTTCCTTTTCCGCCGCGCTTAGGGTGATCGCGTCCGTGTGGGGTTCCTACATACACACAACACACCCATGGGAATCAGGTGGGCTCGCATCAGAAAGAATCAGATATAAGGTCGAACAGTATCACGAGAATCAGATACGCTCGATCGATGGAAAATCAGGTTTGGGCGGCGTACCGGCAACAGTCGAAACACCACCAGCCCCAAGAACACGACCATAAACGACAGATAGTTCATCCATCTTGCAGTGGTCACATCCTATCAAAACGATCCAAATTAAGCACTTTTATATACCTTTACACAACTTACATTATCATCAGGTTGGCCAGAGGATTGATAAGCGTCGAGCGCAAAGAACCCGATGGGAAATGCCAACGTGAACGCAGTGTAGAGCACCCCCACACTCGTGTGGTTGAGGACGAACCCAATCCCGTAGAACAAACCCACTTTGCACCCCAAAAACGCGATCAATATCACTACGCCCAGCTACACACATGTCCAATATATATATATATATATATATATATACAATCAAATATATATATATTCTACTATTACGTACGTGGCACTTGTCGGTGCGAACTTCAGACACGCCATTCACGAGACATTCCAAGCCAGAGATGCGCTGGTCCAAGTGCAATGTCTATAATATACATATATAAACACATGGTACGGGTTAAGACCACTTTTGTTTTGACAGCAGTGTATCGAAACGTACAGGGATATCGAATATCACCGGCGCCAACAACAAGCCTCCGATGAACTGGTACACAGCGACCCATGCATTGAGGTAGTAGACGTCCATGGGCTGCGGGGCCAGCGCCTGCTCCTTGTACAGCATGGAGAGAGCGCCGGGTACTGCCGCGAGTAGAAAGCACAGCGAGTTCCACCCCATCTCGGCCTCCTCGAATACATCGCTGGCGAGGCTACAAGAACTCTATGACAAACAAGGCTCGATATTGATGGAGAGCGCGCGTACAGAAGCACTAGCGGGAGGATGCCCAGGAGCAACCCACTGGACATGAGGATACACCCCACGACCTGCATGCGCGAGTACTGGTAGTCGTGGAAGAGGTAGCCAAACAGCATGGAGAATGGAATCGTGGCTTGCATGAAGATCACGGTGAGCGCAGGGGGGGTGTTGCCGCCCGGAATGAACAGCAGCATGGCCTAGATCGACAAGACACGCAGCGTTAAATGTGGACATGGATGAATCATGGTGTCGTGGGGACGGACGTGACATAGGTCGAGCACGGCCATGATAAAGAACTTGTACTTGGGGAACTCGTTCACTTCTTCGTCGATAAAGTCCTACATGCAACGACGAGTCAACGTGGATGGTGATGGATCGACGTCCATGGAGCGAGGAGATAGATCGTCGTACGGTTTGGGTGGCCTTGTACCCGACAATGCAAAACATGGGAGGAATGTACAGGAACGTTGTGATTTGCGCCAAGAAGTACCGATACGACTCCATGCGATCTACCATGAGTTTGAACGTGAAGCGCTCGCCGACGTCGGCAAGCATGAGTGCGGCCACCGCGGCGAGCACGAGCAGGGTCTACGCATCCTCCCATTACCGCGTGAGACCTCGACCTCCACATGCTCGTATACTTACATGTAGCGAGAAGAGCGCATGTGGTTTGCCCGTCCATTCGTCAAAGCCAAGGATGGACTTGAGCAGATCCATGACCACCCTCGCCGGTATGCACCAGTTGTGATGAGGTTTCCGACACGCCTGACGTGCGATTAGAAAGCAGCAAAAACAATTCCACCAATCCCATGTCACTTTAAAACGTAGAGCCAATCAAAATCTATGAAGAATGAAGTAAGTCAAACCTAACCAATCCGAATGCAAATAAATAGTGCTATTTCTACCAATGAAACACGACTGAACACCAACTTCAACCACAATCCAAAATAGTGACGACAAGAAGGCGGCCATGTACGAGATGGCAGTGCGTGCAAGGACCTTCGTCTAAGAGATGCGAATGGAACCCCCCCCTCTCCATGCTTTGGACCGATATGGGGACCTCAACCCGTCTTAGCGGCGACAGAGTGGACGACGATCATATGGACCTCGTGAGTTCAAGGTCTGTGCAGAGAAGGAATTCTTCATGCTCTCATTCACGTTCTTATGGAGATTGCAGCATGACCAGGACGACGCTTACGTTATCTTGGGATCCATTTTCAATCGCAGTGTGCACGAGCAAGTCACAGATCGCTTGGGGCGTCATCTGGTTCACACTGCGGTGGTGCGCGACGAAATCCACTGCTTCCTGCGGCGTAAACACTTCAAACAGACCGTCGCACGCGAGGAGCAGGAACTCGTCCCCGGGATGCAAATGGCGGCTTCCTCCGCTTACGACGTCGGGGGTGGTGATCACCACAGGACGTTCCACCTTGACGAACCGATCGCCAAACGACCTCGACACTCCCAGGTACCCAAAGATGAACCGGTCCTGCACAATGTGACCGTTCGCGGCCAGAATCCGCGCGCGTTCGTCAGGATGTTGCGGCGAATGTGCCACGCACAGGTCCACTGCACGGCCGTGCCGGCTCAGCACGACCTGCGAGTCGCCTACGTTACCCTACACACTCTCGTCTTAGTAGGAAGGGAAGTCAAGTACGTACGTTGCGTATGTGCTAGCCGTACCACCACCCATTTATCCTTGCCAATCAGCGCAAACACTGCGCACGACCCGCTGTCGTCGGCGAGATGGGAGCCCAGGAACGCCTTGTCCGCGTCACGACAGGCCGATTGCATTGCCATCGACATGGACTCGTGCGGCGCATCGTGAAAGGACCGATGGAGCAAGTGATGCTTGAGCTGCGGAAGTAGTCCATGTTGAAGGAAGTCCGCACATCGAGTCCCGCCATGGCCGTCAAACACGGCCACAAACGCTAGTGGCTCCAGCTATGTCCAAGCAAAATATATATCAAACATATATATCAAAAATAGATGCCGGTGATACGAATATATACTTAAATCCAGAAAATCCCATTTGCCTTCATACTAAAATGAAGGCACAAATCTACATATATATATATATATACACTGTACGTATAAATATACTGTTAGCATAATAATAATAATGTTGACACCAAGTAATATTTGTGATAAGAATTGCAGTAAAATCACAGGAAGGAATGATGGATGATAACTCGTTTTACGGTGGTGGGGTGGTCGAAAGTGACAGTGGTGATGCGGTCTTCCAAGTACGATCGTTTGCCGATATCAGAGGCGCTTGCCACCGACAGATGCAATCTATTTGTTCCGTGAGAGCGATCAAACGAAGGCATGGATGGTCAAGTACTTGGCGAGGGTGTCGGCATCGAGTACGTCCGTGGCGTCGGCGGGGCTGCGGTTCCACTTGGAGATGGAGTGCGACGTGGTCAACGATGGAGTGGATGATGGCGTACTAGGAGCCGAAGTGTACTGGCGCGCTTGGGATGCTCGTTTTCGACTGGCAGTGTTTCTCGCCTCGATACGATCTCGCATCGCTTGGGCTGCGTCGTCCTATATGCATTTACGAACGTTAGACCAGCATCCTCGACGAAAATTCACGACGCACAAACGGAGGAGCCCCTTCCATGTGGACATTCGCCACGCATGACGTCACAACAGCGGCAGTGAGTGCAATCGCGCACAGAGGAAACGTGGAAAGCGTCTACAAGTTCCATGAGATAAACGTCATCGTGGAGGGATAGGCCGACGGGGACTGACCACCTCCACCGCTTGAACGCGCGCCGCCCGTTGCCAAACATCATGGATCTCTCTCACTGAAAGTTGCAAACTCAGTATCCGTCATACCCCATTTCCAAATAACCTTCAAATTGTAGCACCAGTTACAAATACCAGTACTTGCTAAACCACTTGAAAATTGTATTGGGAAATACTCTCAGTAAAACCCAATCAATACAAATCATAACGTTAATATTTCAATAGTAACGTTATACTCCGGAGTAGTATCATAATATTAAAATATTATGAATACTATTAAAGTATTATGAATACAATAAAGCGTTATTATTAATAATAGGAGTCACCTTTAGCCAAAGCCCCCATCATCAATCGAACGTTCTATTGGAGTGCATGTTCAATTATGAATGATGGTCAGTAGTGGCCAATCAAATCCTTGACCTCCATTTTCGAGGATGACGTGGAGTGCCTTCGAAGAGGCTGCGGCAGCAGGCGACGCTACCGCCGCAGCAGGATACCTTCTCGAGCGATACACAGCTGGCGGATCCAATGCGTTTGGAATATGCCGGCAGGTCTTGCTAGGCTACGTGAAGCAGCATCAGAACGACCACATTGAGCTCTTGTGGGCCATGTTGGCAGCAGTGTGGAGCGACGCAGCATCTCCCATTGCGTATCTTTTGCTCATGGCGCTGGAAGAGGTCAAAAAATCTACATCCATCGCCACTTCTCCACCACCTTCCGTTCGACTCGGGCTTCGAGACAACGTGCTTGAGGCCATGGAGGAGGAGGTGGCCGTGTATCCCGGCGGTGTCGTACGTTCGTTATGGCTAGCTCGAGCGAATCTTCAACAGTTGATGCATACGTAGGATGCCAAAGTGGTTGTGAAGACCATCGTGCTGTGTGACATCGACGACGTCGACGCGACGACCGTCCTGAGATACGGTAACGCCCAGGTTCAACACAAGGACTCGTTGGCAGCGCTGGTGCAGCTTGTGGCATCATTTCCTCACTACCCGTGGCCTTTTGCCGAGTTTTTGGTGCAATTTGCAGCGTACAGCAGTTGGTCGTTGGCGGAACGACTGATTGCGACCATCCAAACAACGCCAGATCAATTGAAGCGTACGAACCAAACATGTCTCGGCCACATATTCAAAAATGATATATTCCGTTCCACAGCGGTCATAGAATGATTGAAAACTTGTGATAGATCTGCAGTGCACGTTAATCACGTTGGCCGTTCAAAACGCGGACCTAAAACGCGTACGTGGCCACATTTGTATGGGTTTGACTACAGTATATATATATAAGTGTGTTTCATATGTAGGCACATCGCTGGGTGCATCAGTACAGATTGCAACCGGCCTTTCCAGAACTCGGTACGTACTAGTATTGATCCAACTGCGTCTCCAAATTAACTAGTTAGTTATGCATATCAGAACACATACTGCAACAAGAAGCACTAGACAAACTGTGCAGCCAACAAAAGTGGTCACTGGCCATCCATTTCGTCGGAGCCAACTCCACGCTACAAGTACGTATATATACAGTATTTACTCTGCCAGGATGGACATTTCATGGGTCCATAACCAGGTGCGGCTGTTCCACGCGCTGGTTGCCGCCGGGCACACCTCGTTGGCAAACGACATCCACGACAAGTATCTATATAATTAATTATACATATTGATGTATATATATATATACAGCATATCTTGTAGATTCGGTACGAAGTTCCGGGTTGCACTGAACCTCGCCGCAACATTTGATTGGTTAATCTGAAATTTCTTGTCCCTGATTGGTTAAAAAATTCTTTCTGTTTCCAAGGGATTATTTGTTAGCCAATCAAACGTCGCGGTGACGAGGTTGTAGTGAACGACGATGCAGAATTGGGAAATTTGAACGAAATTCACAATATATACCCGGATATATATTTATATATACTTTTGGCTTCATTCAGGATAAGAAATCAATAGATTATTTTCTCACCATTGTCGCCGTGGAAATCAACTAGGTATGCGTTATCGACTTTAGTGCCCAAGGCAACTGTCAACATGCAAAGCGCTACCACCACCACCACATTATCATCATCACTCAACAACGTACGATGCAAACTGCACCAAAATATGATATATGTGACATGTGGTCTCTTGTGTTTCATGTAGGAGGATGGCGGCGGCGGACACTGCCAGTTTCTGGTCCTGCCCACGGATGTATCGATAGTGCTGTGTGCCACAGACGATTCCATGCATGCCTTCGAGCAAGCTGTAGCCAACGGTAACCAAATATATGAGCTCCAACACAACTATGTACAGTGAACGGCCCCCAAGTTCGTCTAAATATTGCATATCCAATCAGAATCATGTATTTCAAACCAGTTGGTTTGATTCGTCAAAATGATCGAAGTTGGCCAATCAGACTCCAACGTTTACATTCTACTTCAAAGTGTGGCTTCAATTCCCTCGTTCACTGTATGTAGCCCTATGCCATGCTCATTTTAGTCTGCCATAGAGTGCACCCTGAGTGGACATCCACTTCGCCCGTGTTGGCTCGGTGTCGACGTCGAATGGAAAGCAGTGTTTTCCAAGCTGGACTCGCCGTACGCTAGCGTATTGCAGCTGGCCGTAGGCATCCACCGCGTGTTTGTGATCGATTTAATTGCCCTCGAGGTATTGTCGTTTTATCCAAAATTTGGTTGACTTTTGTGCTGAATCGCCAAATCTATCGATCGATTATTCTTTGTACTGAGTTTTGTATGTAAAAAAATGTCCTGTGGTGATGGGTATCACACTAATTAAAGTCATACACTAATTTGACGTTGATGAAGGGTGTTTCCTGCAATCTGATTGGCTAAATCCTTCAGCCGATTCTTCTGTGCATTTGGTGTTGTGTCGCTCCAGTTTAGAATTAACACATAAACAATATTATTTACGCTATTGTAACACTCTACATGTAACAACATGAGGAGGCATCATCACACACACCTTGAACCATAAATTGTTTTCGTTTTTTCGAAATTAATCTATTAAAATTGGACATATACACATCACGACGTACGTTTGGGTGTATTTAATGATGTTTATTTATATTTATTTATAAGAAATACAATTATATTTATATTTGTTTATAAGAAATACAATTATATTTATATTTGTTTATAAGAAATACAATTATAATTTTTATTAAATTTGAAAAATAAAACATTTAGACCGAGTGTGGATGCCACAGATAAAAAAATTTGATGTGAAATAATATATAGAGAATACCCATTTCAAATGGGAGGTGAGAAAATACTTGAAAAATAGTTTGATATAACCTCTGGATGATTCAGGATGGAATGAGCACTATCGATGGAATATCATGGAGGTAAAACATGGACAGTTATAGTATAAACTTTTTTCTATCAGAAACAGTAAAACATGTCAGATTTGGTAGCCAAACACACAAAAGCTGTCGTTTGAAAAATTATCAAAATATATTTCTGAAACGTTGCCAAAAGAGGTGTTTTCTGACATGTTTTGTACCAGAACGAGAGTGGCCCTTATAACTATTATACAAGCTAATACTGTTGTAGAATGAAATATAGTTGATAACAACTCTGTTGTAGCAATCCACGGTGGCGTTTGAGATCTTGGACCGAGTGCTGGCCAACCCCAATGTCCTTAAAGTCGGGTTTGGCCTTGCCCATGACCTACAAGGTACTGCAGCAATAAGGACCTTTGTGTCGCTGACCAGTGTTGGTAGTGTTGCGTGGGACATTTCCAGACAAAGGGCGCTGTTTTCATCACGTGATGGGACAGGTCGAGGTATCGACATATATTATCCTATCAATTATCATTCTTCTGTGGTTATAGATACAAAACGTGCTTGAACGTGTATACCCCACGACCCAGCAAAGGGGAGGGCTCAGTAGCGCCACACAAGTTGTGCTTGGCGCCTCTCTAGACAAAGTACGGCAATAATATATATGCATACTAGTATATATTTGCGCGTCGCAGAGTAGTGTAAATATATACTAGTATATATATATATGCCATTCCTCGGCGTAGGACCAACAACTGTCGGATTGGACATCGCGGCCCCTCTCGACCAAACAACTCTTGTACGATGCTGTTTTCACATATATTTATCGTCTACACTTAATAGATTGATCTGTGATTAAAACATGGAATACAAAAATACACAGATATGCTGCCATGGACGCGTGGTGCCTCGTAAGAATGATGGTCAAGCTAGCCCCCACGACGCTGGACATTGGCACAAGCGACCATCACTACCACATACATCCCCCTCCTCCTCTTCTCTCTTCTGACGCCATCGATCGAGTCGTCCAGCTCCGCCATGCTCAGTTTACTCGCAACTTGGTAACGTTAGGTGTATATCTATCTACACCAGGCTATACACTCCGTCGTATAACCAAGCTAACTATATACTGACTGAACCCCAGGCGACGGAAGATGCCGTTGTCAAGTATATGGCGTCCCAGCCTCCAGCCACGCGCGCGCAGTGTACATTACTAGTGCCTCCTCCATTGGAGTCTTGTGAACCGCCGTCAGTCGTGCTGGCCAACACGCTGTGCCTTATGACTTACGGTACAGTAGTTCACTAATAATCTCGTGCATATCATCGTTTTCTCCATCTTGGAAACCTATTTACCTACCTCTAGACACACAACCCCATGTGGTGGTGCTTCGGCAGGCACACAAGGTCGACCTGGCGCTGTTTGCCGCCGCTTGCGGATGTCCCCGTCGTCGCGTCCGCCTCGCCACACCCCAAGAGTGCGTCAAAGTGTTTGGATACCCCCCCGGTAGTGTGCCCCCCATCGCCCACGCCAACCCCGCCACAAAGATATGGATCGACATGTACGTTTCACATCTCTAAAATGATATGTCACCTGGAATGAGATAGCCTCCAAAATTGACATGGCATCTAAATTGATATATCATTCAAAGTGATATGGCATTTCAAATGATATGTGAAAAGTCATCCAAAGTGATATGTGATTTAAAATCAGTTGTGATATGTCACGAAAGTGATATGCCATTGCGTCGACAAATCACCGAAAATGATATGTCATCTACCGTGATATACAGTGTGATATGGCGTCTAAAAAACGAGGTGTCATCTAAACTGATCTAAGCAAAACAACGATGCATTTCAGGTCGGTGATGGAATCGACGGGGCCAGTGGTCGTGGGCGGCGGGCTAAATCACGTGATTAAATGTCGAGATGGTGCGGCGCTGCGAATGTTGTGCGGTGGCGAGTTGGCGCACGTGATCACGCGAGTGTACAACCCCCTGGCTGGCTCTGTACCAGTCAACCACGGGCCGAGGAACCTTTGCTTCTTGTCGGATGCGCATTTGGGTCGAGTGACCAAATGGTTGCGTATGCGAGGTGTGGACATTGCGTTGTTTCAAGACCAAGGCAACGACCGCACCAAGTTTATGGACCAGGTACAAAAGTGCACTTTGCACTACGTTAATCAAAACCCTCGGATGAGTATTCACCTTTTTATATATGGGCAGGCCGCGGACGAGAAGCGCATCATACTGACCACAGATCGAAAGCTCGGCCAGCGCCGACGAATTGCCGCCGCGTGCTTTGTCCTGTCGTCTGACGATCCACGCCAGCAGTTTCAAGAAGTACGACCCAAAAACTTAACTATTGAACTCGATTAACCAAATAATCCATACGACTTGCTCTTGTAGATTCTCACGCATTTTCGATTGACCTCGGTTGGTGATGTCGTGCCACGGTACTTGCTACTAGTACCTACTATCTTATTACTAGTACTCTGATGGGAAGGATGGCCTGGTGATAGTCGTTTTGTGCACCCTAGATGCTCGCGGTGCAACGGCGATGGGTTTCGCATGCTCACACAAGTCGAAGTAGAAGACGCCGCCACTCGAAAGACCATCTCCCAAGACACGCTGGACACCGTCTCCGAGTTCTGGCAGTGCTTGGCGTGCAAAAAGATATTTTGGACGGCGTGGAAGCGGTTTCAGAGCATGCGGTTCCAAGATGCAGTGGACAGGACAGACCATACGGTTGAAGCCTAAGACATATATATATATATATAAACACATAATACACATGAATAGTGTTTGGCTCATATTTTAATAATAAAATTCTATTTTCTGGCAAAATGGGATAAATCAAAACTGCCGTTTTCAAACTCGAGGCAAACGGGCCATATTGTAATACGGCGTGTTTTGGACGCTTCGAATTACTACTATGTAGTGGATTATTTGGGTTCAAACGCTTCAAGCAAGACATGTTTCAATATTTATCAGATTTATTGAATTTGGCCCCAAAATGGTATTATTATTTTTTTCCAGAATATTGCAATATTGTAATATTTCAGCTTACCAGACGCACCCTACACAATTCAGTGGCCTAACGTCAGGCGTTCATTGAATGGAAACTGTTGGCGTCACTTTACGAGTCTACTGCTGATAGAGTGCATCACCAATAATGCTATCATTAGTAGTCGCATATATTATCGTGTACAACTATATGCATGAGACCTGCCAAGTATGCCAAGAAGTATATTTTTCGGTTGGTGGCAGCTACGACGCGACTGTCCCCTGATGGCGCTTCCAGTGTCGAACATGCATGGCTAAATGGGCACCAAGGACGTCGGCGGCGGTCTTGTGCTCGTGGTTGGTTGACGTGAGCGCTACGACTTGATTTTGAAGGTCCCTACAGGCTTCCTCTAGCATTCTCGCCTGCGCCTATATAAATAAATACCCACGTATATCACATCGTCACAATGGTCTGCATATTCTGGTCGCACCACTTGCTTTGCCAACGCATTTCCCCCTGCTTCTAGCTCGTTGCATTTTAATTCCAATGACGAGCACTTGGCCTTCCAGCCGTCCACTGCCAGTTCCAGCGAACTCACAAGCCTACTCAATGCTACATTTTCAGCGATTGTCATCTATTAATTTTAGTTTCATTCAACGTACGTTTGGCTTGCTTCAGACCGTTGCTACATCATTCCATGCTTAGGTGTTTATATATGTTGCAACAATCGTACAATTATAATACCTTGATGGCGTTCACATGTTCGTTATCGGCTGTTTCGGCAGCTGCCTGGGCTTTATCAAGTTCATTGCGACAATGGATGGTCGTGGCGCGCTCGTGCTCCAGCATGTCCTGCAGCCACTCGACGCTGGCGGTATCCTCAAGTTCGTCTGTTTGCATCGTTTCATCCACAGCTTGCGACTTGTCATTATACCGGTGAGCCCACTCTGCGTTCAAACTATTGAGCGATTGCCGTACGTGGTCATGTTTGCGTTGTATGGCCTGCACGTGAATTTGGTGATTTTCCATCTTCAAATCTGCTACGGCAGCTGCTGTCGTGTTCAGTTGGGCTACCAGCGCGTCCCGATCTGTCGTCAGGGCGTCCATGGTCGTTTGATGCCGCACTTGAGCTAGTTGCATGGACTGAATCGTTTCTTCTAGCTCTGCATTCCGTCGCGTCAGCGCCGTAACTTTGGCTTCCCATTCCGCCATCTAAATACACTGCTTCAGCCCCACATTTGTCATTGAGGACTTTTGTACGGTAATAGCACGCGTATCGTGCAGAGTTTTATGGTATGTTGCCTGCACTTGATTGTCCAACACGCCGGTCTGGTCAGTGGGATTCACAACAGGTGAGTAGTGCATGATGGAGAGGTCAGTCTCAAGCTGGTTTATTTTGACTTGGGCTGCAGATAGCGCAGCGTACACGTCGCGAAGCTCGTCCAAAGTGCTCTTAAACATGACGGTCTAAGTGTTTTACACCTCCTCAGTGGAAAACCAAAGGGTGAATAGGTCGACGTACGTGGCGGGTAGACACGGAACTGGTCTGGTCGAGGACGTGTCGCTTGAGATCCAACACGTGAATGTCCAGGCCCAATTTGTTTCGAAAAACGCTCAGTATAAAATCCAAGTTCAGCAGGAGGTTTGTGTGGTGGCCGGTGGCCTTATGGGAGGGTGTTGCAACTGGCTTCTTCAACTTGAGACGATTCACCACTTGGCGCAACCTCTCGCACTCGTCGTTGGCTCGCCTTAACGAGACAATCGACGACGCAGCTTCGTCCATGGCGATATCTCTCTCCACACACGCCAGACGTACCAACTCGGACGCATCCTCAACGTCTCCCTGGGGAACATGCAGCAGCATTCTGGCCATTGCGTGGACCTGCGCCATCGTAACCGGAAATGAAACTGCCGTAGGGTTCACATTTCGTAACTGTCAGTCAACACAAAATATCAGAGACATCGTGATGCCCGCCAAACATTCACCGTGACATGGAAGGCCTTATAGTGTAGCGGTTATCACGTCTCCTGGACGTGGAGAAGGTCCCCGGTTCAAGTCCGGGTATGACCATTCCTTTTTTTCTTCCAATATTATTACTACAGGTTACGTTATTAATATCTGAAAAACTCTTTATAATTACTACTTCTTTGTTGGCAGCGTCGACTTTGCCTACCCTCCACAAAGTGAGCACTTGCAATGGAAGGTCATCTTGTTTTCATTATCGGAAACAATGCAACTTGCGCAGCTTCATTGACTTTGGGATGGGCCATCACGTCTTGGGCTGTGGGTCGCTTGGTTGGGTCAACTCGTAGCATCTAGTATCGTTCAAAAGCCAGGGCTGTCAGGGAACGAATACAATTTCTCACAAATATATATATATATACCCCGAACTCACGTACTTGTCGAATCAACACGTCAAAATCAGCCGAGTACGCCGTGTCGAAAGTCCGATGTGGCAAGCTGCCGCTGCGAAGGACATGCCATTGCGGGCCTTGGGACGGCAACGCTACGCCAGTTGCGAGTTCCACCAGCGTCAAGCCTACCCAACAGCCCAAATATAGGTAAAGCTACACCAAATTTGGCACGGTTTACAGTACCCAGGGAAAAGATATCTGCGGATGGTTGCCGAGCAGTGGACTGCAGCAGTTCTGGGGCCATGTACGCGCTGTCGCCTTCATTGGTAGTTAGTCCATTCTCCCCTTGATGTGAATCACACTGGGCCAGTCCGAGATCTCCAATTTTGACCATCGTGGCCGTGACCAACAAGTTGGCTGGCTTGATGTCCAGGTGCACAATACCGCGGCTGTGAAGATATGACAAGCCCTAATATACATATATGGCATAAAGACAGGCAATTTAGCATGGCAAACAACCAGACTCAAAGGACACTATCAAGTAGTCGGCGCATCGACATACGTACATACCGACGCGACGTCGTGCAGAATCCGCCAGCACAGGGCTTCCGACAGCTTGGATGACTGTATCGCATTTGGTAAAGCCCCCCGAGGACACAGCTCTGTTTGCATGTACAAGTAGCCTACGATATAGATAGTGATGATATAGAAGGATGCAAGGAACAACGTACCTTGCTCTTGCCAAGCATGGAAATACTGCAAAACGTACTGCCTACATCGAGCTTCTTGCACGCCACCGTCCGAGTCATTGGTCGAATCGTTTTGCACCCTGTCGTAGATACGAATTTCTCGCAATCTAAGGTCCCTATCACGTACTGAAGCATGAATATTCCATATAAAAAAGACTGGAAATCAGTCGTGCAATCGATTGATATATTTACCGATCTCGGCGTCCGCGAAGTTTATGCTTGGATTTCTTGACAGCGTACCGGATACCTTGATCGTCTATCACCTGTGCCAGGGGTTAACGAAGAGAACAGAAAGCCAAAGTGGCGCACCGCAAACACGTCCGAGTGCGCGCCAGACCCGAGCGGCCGCACGTTTTGAAACGACTCAAATGGCAACCAACGTGGTGGTATACTGGTCTTACTTCTGGTAGATGGGACAAGAGGTGCGACGGTCACCAACAGCTTCGTGGACACGAGCGAGTTCTGGCGATGCAACCGATTCATGGCTGGAATGACAGCAGCGCGACGAGTAGTTCGAGTTGTTCCAAGTCGACGTTTAGTCCATTGAGCTGCGCGCGCCGGAGAGGTTGGACATGTCGTGGGAACTGCTCGTCGGTCGGATGACCTCGCACGGCCAGCGACGGACGCTGGACCAACATCTCTGCCGCCTTCCTCGATGTAGGTGAAGAGGAACGTCTCAGAGAGATCAATGCTACTCGTGCTGGAGTCTGTCTTGGCGGAGTCGATAGCCGTGGAATCAAGCCCGTCGTCGCTGTCTGCCTCGTCGAATTGCGCCGACAGGTTGACACGTATGCAAGGTGACCTCGGCGACCATGTTTTACCCGTGCTGTTGTATGCACTAGGGGTGGAATGACGGACTGGAGATAGTGATGAGGGAAAGTAGTTGGTCTTGGAAGACTGGCGTGGTGGGGACGCTGGTAGATGCGGCAGCGGGGAGCAAGGGCTGGCTTCGGCCATGGTTTACGAATTGATGATTTGGATTGTTGCAAGGGGGCAAACTTAAAAGGTGGGAACCAATCAAATTACAGCAAGTTGTCTCCACGAGCCAATCAGATTCCTACAGGTTCCCTCCAAAACTCCATATAATCGTATACGAAAAACAACAATAAAGTGTACTTACAGACAGTGACGGAATAGCAATGAAGTCACAACTGTGTCCATTCATCACTAACCACTGTGCGCCATGTTACACGGATGTGTAGTACCAGTGGTACTGCGTAGTTCTAGTACAGTTCGTATGTAACGTAGTGTGGTTGATACACACCAACTAAAAATAGTCAGGTATGGCCCTTGTAGTGATTTTGTATGCAGGCTTCGCCGAGCCGACCACGGCACGGTGGGGGGGCTGCTGGTACCCCTCGAAGGGGAGTGGGTGTAACCTCCAAAAAGCATCCTCCATCCGTCGACGCAAGTCCGCACGCCGCGGCCCTTTCGATTGCGCTCAAACCCACAGACAAACCCGTGGCCCATTTCCCCCCGAGTTTTTACACCACGGTCGTCAAGGAGTACGCGACCAAGTACCTAGAGCAGATGCACGCCCTGCCTACACCGGAAAACATAGCGATGGTGATTGCCAACATGCCCCTGCAAAAGTGCCGAGTGTCAGCTGCGTGGAAGTCCCGCGGGTGCCTGTCGGACGTGCTGACCATCGACGCTCGTTGGCCTCGGTCAACTCCCGACCCATCGGATTCGATCGACGCCACGGACATGCCGTTGCCAACTCTGTATGTAGCCAAATATGATTGCCAACCAGTTGGTACCTAATGCAATCTTTGGATTCTAATGCAATCTTTGGATGTAGCAGAAGCTCCAAATCGAAGCCCATAACAAACATCACAACCAAACAACATCATGCCACCAACGACGTCCATAGCGACTTTGTGGGGCCAGTATTTGGAACAGACTTGGACAAAAACTACTGCGTCGAACATGTTCAGTGGTCGTTCAACGATTTGAAACACCGTTATGTGTACCCGTTCAACCAAATCTACAAAGTATACTACTATACAGTAGTACTACTCATTGTTGCGTGTGTGTACTAAGATAAGTATTTCAACCACGAGCTTTGGCCATGATTAGGTACCGATTGGAAAAGACGTCGACGGGTACCCCAAGGCACGAGCCATCACGTTTTCCCTCGTCCCGGACCGCCGGATCTACAAACCGTCGCCATCCGCCCTTGACGAGCTCATGCTGCCACCCTCGACGCTGACATTCGACATCATTTCTCGTACGTTCACTCATTACCTCACTGCAAAGAGTAATAACACGACGTTTTCTAGAGCTCCAAACAACGTTTTTCAACGTTGTTCCATTTGACATGGTCGAAATTCCCGATCCCAAGGACCAACACCTCCTTCGCCAGCACTTGACATGCCCCACGACTTTGCATCTCGTGGGCTTCCTCGCGCATTACTTGTACTGGACGGTCCTGCGTCCGCTCGCCACGTATTGCGCAGCTATTCAATCCGCATCCATGAGCTCCCCCAACCAAGATCCCCCGCCATCAGCCGCTACGTCCGCCCCACCCAAACGCCCCCCATCCCATCATCATCTCCCCCCCGCGTCTCAAGCCCCTCCCCCCGCACCCACACTGACCCCCACCGACATTGAGCAGCTGCTCGTATCCACGACAGAATCATTCGCCTCGATCAAATCGTCGTTGGCCGCCAGCATTCCCATCACGACCACACGACCAACGCCACCGCTGCTGCCTCTGTTTGTGTTGTCGCTGCGGGTGACCATAGACACCATCTTTCGCACGACGTACCCCAAATGGATGGACGAGAACTCGTTGCGTATCGAGGTATGATATCGTTATCCCTTCAAATATATTGACGTTATCACTTTGACGTTTGTAGCCGACGCTGCTAGCGCTGAGCCATGTTGTGGATCAGTTGTTGGACCCCCACGGGTATTACGATCGCATAGGACCGTTGGAAGCGTCGGCAGATGCCATCAACTTTACGAAAACGCAAGCGTTTAAGATGCAGAAACGAGGGGGGCCGAGGCTCCGCGAGTCTTTCTTTGCCACATCGACCACCATGCAGTCCATCATGCCCACGCCGTCGTCGGGGGGGCCGCGCCGCCTGCTCCTCGAAGGCGGCGGCGGAAGGTACCATAGGAACCACCCGCAAAAGCCGTCGACGTCCCCGACGAAGGAAGGCCAGTCATTTTTATCCGTGGGAAACCGGCTAAAGCTGCTCAAACTTCGGGAACACAGGGGGTCATCTGCATAAGGAACACTGTTACCTGTAATGGCTAGTAATACCAGTTGATTGTATGTACACCGTATGTTAATGAACGTTGTAGCGACGAGGTCCCCACCGCACTGATTCTTCTTCTGGACTGTATTAGTTAGTATTCACTTTCAATGCCTTGAAACGAACTATTTGAGGTATGTATATTCAGTCGATCGGGTGTTATTATGGTATGAAAAAGGTTGATGTTTTCAAGGTTGCGTGGCTTCCACGGCCGCAAGTGCAGCCAAGACGCGCGTGGGGTCGCCGCGCGCATCCACGACCAACTGGCGTCCGTCCTTGGTCACGGTCTTGCCGGCCGCGTCCAGGAACACAAGGGTCGGGATCGTCTTGACTTCAAACACTTGCTTGGCCAGCACGTCCTTTTGCTCGCGGTACTTGAACGGGAGCGCGTAGAACGGCATGTCGTTGTAGTATTCGTTGAACGACGCGTCTTCCTTGTCGGACGACACGAACACGATCGCCACGTCCTTGATGTCGTCTTCGATGAACTGTTCGTACGATTCACTCAGCAGCGGCGTGAACCCGCGGCAAGGGGGGCACCAGTGCGCCGAGAAGTAGATGCCGACGTACTTCTTGCCTTCGAGCACTTGGTCGGTGGGGAACACGCCGTCCTTGGTCTGCAGTTCAGGGCCAAAAAATGTCGTCCAGGTCATGATGGTATGTAGTGGCGATGTGGTGGTGATGGATATTTGGAAATGACCGCTTTGGGCGGAAAGGCGGCAACGTGGCGTTTAACGTTTGTTGTTTAAACGAGGTCAATCCCGTTTTTTTGCTTTTTCAAAGGCAAAGTGCCTCGTTTGTTTCTTTCGATGGACCCCGTTTAACTGTAAATATGTGCGTTAAACGCCCAATGTTGGCTTCCACCGAAGTCCTTGACGTGGAAAGGGTACCCGCGTGTGATTCGCTGCAAACAAAACCAATCATATTGCGTGAAATCAATTGTTGAGGTAGTAACGCTAGTAGTTACTACTACAGTAGTAGTGCGGGAGAGATTACAGTACACTTGAACACCGTTGGAGATGTGTATGAATAATAGTAGTACTATTGTCGATTTGATACAAATTTGGGGAGGGGGTGCAATCGAAGCGCGCCGACCAAACCGATCCACAATCGATCTGATTGGTTGAATTTCAATGAGAAGGTTTTGATTGGCTAATAATTTTGAGCTCATCTGAGGTAGCCAATCAAATTGATTTAAATTCCAACGAGAAACCACGCCACAACACGACATTTCACTCGAAAGCACAATATTAATAGTAACGTTAGTTATGATTCGTAGAAATATTAATAGTATTAATATAATAAAGTAGTATTTTCTCTGGTTAACAACCAGAAAAAGCAAGGTGAGATGGCAATTTTTGTCATCACCGTGACGGTAGAGCAGGAAATAGAATACCCGCATCCAGTAGTGATATTAATAGTATTATAGTATGCACACTCTTCATGAAGCAAGTAGTAAAACCACCCACTGACACAGTCACACTGCTACTGACAGTTCGAACAAGCGACACCACCGCAGACGTGTATAACTTATCGATCCAATATCAAACCAGCCAACCCTACTACGTATGATTAACTAACTAGTGTGCAAAACTACTCCATCCTAGTAGGCGCCAACCGTGCCGGCTGGTTCAACCAGTGAGGAGGGTCGTGTAGGTATAATTGAGGAACTGATCCTTCGAGCCCGCCCACAGCGCCATGCCGCCCCCACTCGCCCGGCTCCACTGGGTCCACAGCGTCACGACCGCGAGGCTCGGGCCTGGGCCGAAGGCACACCCTCGGTAGAGGGAATTACTCGCTTCGGTACACACAGCGACCACCATCTTGGGCGGAGGCAGCACCGCCGTCCACGCAGAAAAAGTGTCATTGATCGCCGATGCATATACCGCCTACCAATCAATCCCATGTTTGTTAAAAGCATGAAGAAAATGGAATGTCCAATGAACAAAAGACACCAATCAAATCACGTTCTGTTGTCGAATTGTTTGTTTCAGCCAATCCAAAGAAAGTATTACGGATTCGATGTAGTGTCGGGCAAAAAGCACACCCTGATACTAGTACGTTGTTAGTTTTGAACAAGATTATTCAAATCAGGTGAAAGGCTATTATGACTTATTGACAACATAATTGATCAAACGTCCAAATTATTCGGATGAAATGTCCAACAATCTTGTGAATATGAAATACTCGTACCTGGGCTTTGGCCACGTCCAGGTCGACGTTGTACGCCATCACATGCACCCAGTCCACGAGCGGTTCCACTTGTTTGGGGAAGCACCGCCCCGTGACCGCCGCGCACTTGTCCGGCACGGCATCGTAGTAAAATGCGTCGATTGTAAGCAATTTATCCCGGGGACGCAACGCATTGGACAGCGACGTCATGTACGCAATGACATGCGCGGGGTCGTACTTACCGCGGGTCTCGTCGTCCATATCGACGCCGTCAAAGTTGAACTTGTCCACCAGCGCCACGGCACTGGTGGCGAAGCGGTCGAAGTCCACTAGATCCGCTATGGCTTTCGAGTTGGTTTCTCCGCCAATGCTCACCAGCACTTTGATGCATCGCCTGGTCACACAGCCCCAACACGGTATTAGATATGACAGGGTTCTGGTATTAAAAATATCACATCAATAATATCATCAAAGAATATTCCACTCAAACGCGACTAGGAGGTGCAAGTTCGTTCACCCATGCGATGCGGAATACAAGAAGTGTACGTATTGTGCTTTTCGCCCAAATTTGCCAATTTCGGGGGATTGTTGAAATCACCACGAAATCGAGCAAAGCATTATGATTGGATAAAAATAATATTTGTTGCAATATGATTGGCTAAACGAATGAATATTCGTCTAGAACACCTCTGAAACTTAGTTATATACTTGTGTATCATATTTAGACGGCCCGGTGATTCATGGGCGGTTCACTCACCAGAGGAAATAATGAGTAGAACACACCATATTACGCAAAGTAGAATTGCCTCGAAATGTCTATATATATATATTAGATAAACTTCGACGCGAATTTTTTATATTGACGCTTGGTGATTCACCTCAATACCATAAGCAAATCATCACCATCGTACGCAAGCTACAATATAATCATATGCAATATATATATACGTATACTGACGACAGGTTTACATTTCATTCAACTCTGTAGCATTAACAAGTCGCCGCCTTTTGATCTCCAGCCATATGATGCAATATATATATATATATATCGTTGTGTTTATTCTAAACCGGAGCGATATGGAGAATGAATCGACACAACCAAATAAATGTACAGAAGAATCGGCAGCAGGATTTACCCAATCAGATCGCATGAAACCATCATCAACGTCGAATTAGTGTGTGACTTCAATTAGTGTGTACTACAGGAAACCTTTTTCAATCCAATTTTCAGGTCAACAACGAATCGATCGATAGATTCGGCATTGCAGCACAAAAGTCTACATTTTTTGGGTAAAAGGACAATATATATATATATATAGTATTCCAAGACGCACGCACGTACTGTTGCAATGAAAGCACACAGCGACGGAGGGTGGCGTCGTTGCCCTGCAGCGACAGCGTCACATTGCCGTCTTGGACGAGGGAAAACGACATGATGACGTGTGTGACACCGCGTGGAATGGACTCGCATCCGCCCACTTCGCTGCCCCAGAATAGCACCACGCGGGGGGCTCCGTCGTTGGAACCGCACGACGACGAGATGTTGGACGATCGCAGTGGCAGCGGCATGGGTCGGAGGATGGCCTGTATCGCATACATCCTGTCGGTTCCGTAGACACTCATGCCGCCGACGGACTGCGAGTAGTTGGCCCAGATCGAAATGTCGTCGATGGTGGGACCGGGGCCGTACCCGCAGTCGATGCACACGCCAATGTTGAGTTTGCCCTGCAATTTGGCCTTCCACGGGTCGAAAAACCCCGAAATCGCATCTGCGTACACGTCCTAGCCATGCAACATGAGCTAGTCGTGGCGACTAGAACGGAATGGGAGAATGCTGGGCGGAGTACCGAAGCCAAGACGGGGTCGCTGCTCACGCTGTACGCCAGGACGGTAATCCAGTCGACCACGTCCTGTACGCCGTCGGCAAAGCATCGCGTGCCACAGTTGAGCAGCGTCTTGTCTAGTTCGCTGTAAAACACGTCGTAGCTCAGCGTAGTGCTAGCGACGGATGCCTTGAGCGCCGTGGACAGTGCTGTCATGTACGGTAGTGTCGACGTTTGGGATGACAGGTCGTGGACTGAAATGCCGTCGAGTTTGAACTTGTTGACCAGGCTCACAGCATCTGCGGCCACCGACGACGTGTCGAAGGCCTTGTCTCCGCCAATACCACCCAGCACGTAAATGCAGCGCCTAGGGTGAGCGCTTCGTCAGCCACAAAACGAGCGCCCAATAGATGGAGAGTGGTTTTGCATTCGCACTTGTGCAGATCGCTGACGCAAGTGAGTACGTCCACATCCTTGAGCTGGAACGACAAGGTCGCGAGGTCGGCGTACGTGAGCACCACGTGCGTGACGCCTTCGGTGACCTGCCAGGTGGTTGATTTGTCATGAGGAATACACTTCGATGGTGGAATACAGTTTGCGGGTGTTACCGAAGCGCAGCCGCGGCGTTGGGAAGCAAATTGTTCAATGAGACGTTTGCCTGGAGGAATGACAGGACACCGCGCGGCATCGCGGGGGGCGACAGCCTTGGCGGCGGCGGCAAACGCCTTTTGAGCCGCTACCTCGGCCGAGTCTTGGAACACGCCAGCACCGAACAAGACGCCAACGATGGCCCCGGCAAGGAGCACCACTAGTAGAACATATAAACACACATGTGAGACCAGCACATGGGCTACGGAGGACGCTGGATGGACATACAGCCGACGGCGATCTCGATGTGGCGCTTCTTGATCTTCATCGGAATGCTGGAAAGAATGGTTCACTTTGTTACTGTCGATATTCAAGAGACGGACGGATGGACAGCTAATGCGACAAGAGGGTAGGAATACCCGGTATAAGACGTCCGGTTGAAATTTCGGCGACATTTCACACGCTTGATTGTTGGACAAGTACGTAGTATCCGGTTTGAATGTTGAAAATGGAGAATAAACAATGGAATTACACACATTTTTCAGGTATTTCATTGGCTAAAATGTTTTCCCTTGACATCCATCCTCCATGACCGATAACTGGCCATGGAGAATGGTGATGGGTACTGGAGTTTTGGTATAAACAATGGGAGTGAAAAAAACATAAATGTGAGCACATCAAATTTAAGAGTGCACAACCCATAACTCGATTTTCACCAACTCCATCGGCTACTTGTATAACGTAAAAAACCAATTTAAGATAACTTGAACAACCAATTTAGGATAACTTTGTATTGCCCAATCACACCTCGTTATTTGTTCGAGTCAAAACCTCTATCATATAATGCTGGCCATTCCGTCACGTGAATGAAATGCAAAAACCGCGTAGAAGCCATTGGTAACAGTCAATCAAGATTGGGTTTGAAGTTCCCTAGTCGACACGGGCCACATTGGGTTGGATCTGAGGTTTTGTCAAGTGTTAAACTCGGTGGACATCCATCCACAACAGAAATTTAACTCTATGAAACAGTACCCTTGTATAAATTATATGCAACCTGTTGTAACCGCTTACCCTAAACAAAAAATTTCAATGCTCAGACACATACATACTTTAAGATAAAAAAAGTTATCCTAAATTGGTTATGAAAATGTGAGTACAAATGCTTAGAAAGTAACAAATTTATCTGTGAAGTTCATCGCCTAAACTCGATTATGAAGTCAAAGAGGCGCCTCTTGTCTATTGGAATCACTATTCAAAACTCAAATATCGTAACTGACTCAAACGTTATGTCCATTCTACTCCGACGCCTCCAAAAAAGTTATCTTAAATTGGTTTTTTACGTTACAGTTGACATGCTCCATTTTTAACTATGAAACCCACTACAGTATTAACGTTAGGGGGTTTCAGTCAATAACTAGTTAATGACGGACGTGCGTACGATCAATTGCAGCTTGCGACCACCCAACTTTGAACCGGATCACAAGTACTTCGAAGTATGGCATTACTGGTACAGTACAAGTAACGGTACGTAGTTAATCACTACAATTGTTGTTCGACTACTGTACTTGCCTGCAGCCCGCCTGCAGCCTGCAGGTGACAGGTTCACATCAAAGCCCGCCGCGGCCGAAAATGAGTCGTCGTGCGTATCCTTGTCTTCGTCGAGCAGCTTGTTCTTGAAATCCTCCATCACTTCGCTGCTCTCGTTGTTGCCGAACATGCAAAACCACGTCAAGACGATCGTGGCGAGTGAAATGCCGGGAAACGTGTAGAACAACGCGCCGTCGTAGCCAAAGCTGGGGTCCTTGACCCACAGCGAACACCCGTACGAACCAATGGACGCGCCGGCCTTGCCCATCGCCGCTGATGGAGAAGAGCCCACTTGTTGATCATAGGGATGGAAAAACCTAACAGTAAATTTTAAGGTCATTGAAAATGAACCGATACCCAATATATTTAGTATGAGGTTGTTTGTTCCATTAATCCAGCTACAATCTCCAAGTTTCAGATGTAAATAATGTTGAACGAGCGTGGAGCTTTGAAAGTTCTCCCCAGCCGCATTCCTCAGATGCGTCTTAATTTGATTGTTTACGTTAAAACCTAATCTTTTTCTTGCATCGGAATAAGCGAATCAAAAGTACAACTTCTCATAAACAACGTTGATTGGCTGAAATCATTAAGCCATGGACAGGATAGTTTTTCACGTGTATTAATAACAGTAAATTCTCTAACAGTAAACAAAGGCTTGATGTCGGAGGCTACGCGGTAGTATTTCGTAATGTGTTTATACTCCGGAGTAACATTACTCGTATTGTTGTGTTTATTCAAAACTGGAGCGACGTGCCGAAAATATACGTATATCCAACACGACCAAATGCGCAGTCGAATCAGCAGAAGCATTTAGCTTCTGTGAGTGACTGCTGGCCTTTGGCAAATGAGCACAAAGTCCAAATTTTGGCTGAAAGGACAATACTACGCAAAGTACCGGTATGTATGAGCACTAGAAAACCTACCGGTGATACTGCCCTCTAGCAGAATGACGAGTTCAAGATACTTTGGTACGGGATAAATTATTACTACGAAGTAATAATGACTAGACTCATGCTAATGCCAACATTGGCAAATACTACCGTAGCATCGATGAATATATTCTGTCAACAAACAGAATATATTCATCAAGAAATTCCCCATATAATCAGATCAAATGGCTTCATCGTGAAAATTTTCAGGAAATACTACTACGTACAGTGTGTCCAGAAATTATAGACGCACCTAAATTTTCTCGAGTTCGTCATGATGCCATCCCATTCCCCTCTCTCTGCATGGTGCCCTGCTATCACAGGCGCATATAAGAGTATCCACTAAGCGGCCAACAGATCTGTTTAGATCGTGCAATCTCCAAATTTATCATTTCGAGCTGTCCAGAAATTATAGACGCACTTCTGACAAATCACAAAATTCATCTTAATTTTAGCCAATCAAGTGTCAAAACAGCAATCCACATTATTACAGCACTAGCGGCGACACGTACACACCATTATCCACATCATTTGTCACATTCAGCGATGCCACGCGGCAAAACCATCACTGCCGAGGAGCGAGGCCAGATAATGGCCTATTTGAAGCTTGGTAAGAAGCTACGGTGGATCGCCAGAGCTCTCCAACGCAGCGATAAGCTCGTTCGGACATGTGTGGCCAACTTCAGCCGAGAATTGCCACCCAAGTCCCCTGGACGGCACTGCAAACTGACCCGACGAGAAGTCCGCCGAATCTTCCGACTCGCCACACGCAAAGGAATGTCCACTAGACAGATTTCAGCTCCTCTAGGTGGTAAAGTAAAGCATTCTACTGTGTCCATTGTGCTTAACATGAGCAAGTTCGCGAAGTACATGAAACGCCGCTCGAGTCCCCGTCTGACGACCAAGCACAAGAAGGCCAGGGTTGAGTTTACGGCAAAATACTTCCACAAGCTCGATGCCAAGAAGAAATCTCTCTTTACAGACGAGAAGAAGTTTAACTTAGACGGTCCAGACGGCTGCCAGTATTACTGGCACGACTTGCGCCACGAGGTGCAGACCTACTTGAAGCGTGTCTCTGGTGGGGGCTCGGTATTTGTTTGGGGTGGCATCAGCTATCACAACAAGACCGAATTGGCCATCCTGAAGGGTCGCCAAGACTCTGAGAAGTACAAGGACACGCTTCGTGGGTACATGATCCCCGCAATGCGCGAAGTTGGCCGTGCGACAAGTGATGGCACTGGAATTTTCCAGCAAGACAACGCCAGCATCCATACGTCGAAGGTGTCGAAGGCGTGCCTGGATGCCCTACCGTGGCCAACGATGCCGTGGCCTGCCAAAAGCCCAGATTTAAGCCCAATTGAAAACGTTTGGGGTGCTCTGGCAAGAAAAGTCTATGCAAATGGGCGGCAGTTCGAGACAAAGGCGAGTCTGAAGGCCCAAATATTGGTCTCATGGAGCGAAATATAGCAGGAGTACTTACAAGACTTGATTGAAGGCATGCCTACTCGCATGGCTCAAGTTCTTTTGCGTCGCGGTAACTGTATTGATAAATAGTTGACTTTTTGAAAATGCGTCTATAATTTCTGGACAGCTAGAAATGATAAATTTGGAGATTGCACGATCTAAACAGATCTGTTGGCGAAACCCGCTTAGTGGATAGTCTTACATG